ATGCTGCGGTTGCTTCTGGGGCTGTTTGTACAGCCGACGGCACAGCAACAGTTTCCCCCACCATCACCACCCATGATGGGGAGTAGAAAACTTTGCCGAGATAAAATAGAAGCGAACGCAGAACACGGCTTGCACGGACTCGCTACCTACAACGCGCAAGATTGGCTGCAGATGCAGCAGAGGGGTAATCCCATGACATCACCGTACCGTCGTTGCCTGCCAAGACTGGCATGTTGGAATGGACTCCAACTGCGTAACTTGAAAATTCAATAACTTTACGAAAACATTTTATTTTGCGGAAATATTTTGTGAACTAGTTCGGTCCTGCGTGCTTGTTGGTTGAGCCAAGTTTGAAGCGAATCGGAGACCGTGAAAAAATCGGTGGATTTCAATGGCTTGCTTATAGCCAAACTATAATCTGTATGATAAATGCTAAATCACTGCAGCACATAACTAAAAATGTAGGCCAGCTTGTTCATCATGCCGACAAAGCACAGAATATGTTGAGATGGGCATGGTCACAAACGATGTATAATGGCCACAAGACCCAGGGTACCATGGCCATGTGATTACCTGACCACCGTTGGTCCGCTACTTCTAGCGCGCTCCTGTGGTAGGTGGGACCCCACTAACCATGGTCACGTGACCATGTGACCACCATTTATCTGCGATTTCAAGCATGGTGATGAGGCGAACGGGACCACGGGGACAATGGTCACGTGACCGCTCATGGATTTCGGTCACGTGATTATGTGACCACCATTTGCCCGCTATTTCCAGCGTGGTCATGAGATGGAACATGTTGGCGCGTTAATGGTCACGTAGCTGCCCATTGACTGACTATATGGTCACGTTTCCTCACGGGTCATGGTCACTTGACCATGAGACCAGTACTTGCCCACTATTTCCGTAAAGGTCCAATCAGACGGTCGAAAATCGCAAAGACCAGCGTATTAACGCGTTCTGTGGTTAAGGTACCCTGAAATCACTGCGTTGATTATTTTTGACATGTGAAGCATTTCCAGAGAACTGATCAACCACCCAGAAGGTCAACAAACCGGGAGAACTAACCGGAGTGAGAGGATGTTGTTGGGAACTAGAGTGGGATTTAAAGCAGTGTCACAACGGAGTCATATTTTGTTACAATAAATTGTATTTACCACACTCCTCCAGGCTCTCATTAGGGCCGGTGGCCGGCATCGATGACGTAGAAGCGAAGATAGTGGCTGCATCCCTTGCTGCCTTTGCGGCACGTAGCTTGGCAGCAGCTGGGGTCCCTCCCCCTATAAGACCCTTTGGAGCACTCCTTCCGGTGGTCCCTTGCTTTGGCACAGTTTTCGTGTGGTGGCCAAACTCTCTTGCCAGGTCAGAAACCTCCTGGAGCAGCTGCTCTTTTTTGGCGTATTGTTCCTTGCTTTACGTAAGGGAATGAATAGGATATAAAATATTATTATTAGCTGGGCTACTGGGCACTACCATTCAGCTCACGCACTCACCGAAATATGTCTGTGCACAAAGGAAAATGAAAGAGAGTGATCCTCTTAAAAAGATAAGAATAAACTTTTTGAAAATGTACTATAAACTGTACTTCCTTTACAAGGCTAAGTTATATTATAGTGCTGCAGAAGTTCTCTGCTGTATCATGGTTTACAAAAGTTTACATCATCATCATCATTGTGGCACCAAATCGGGTACTTGCTGATAGGAAGCGTTGCGCCAGCTTCTCAGCTGAGCAAAGATTTGTTTCACAAGCTGTGATTCCCGGCAAGAAAACAAGTTTTCTGGAGCAATGGTGAGGGTGCAGGCTAGCTGGTGTAATTTGAGCATAGTTTTAAACTTGAAACCAGGAATAGGGACAAGGGACGAATACACAGAAGGTCCATTTCGATCTGTGTTTTCGTCCCTTGTTCCAATTCCCAGTCTCGGGTTTACTACTATGCTCAAAGTCTTATGGAATGTTGGAGTGGAATGCAATGACTTTCAAGTCATTTACAGAACTGTACTCAGTGCCTTCATATTTGAATGCGATCGGCAATGCAGGACCATTGAATTTCACCTGTGTTTACTTGAGTTCTGGAGTCCAACGGCAATCGTCTTTTCTTTTTCAGAGAGACGCATATAAAATATCTATTCATTTTGCCCAAAGAGACACGCTCAGATCGTGTCTTGGCGACTGGTTAGCGTCTCATTAATTTTCAGATTAAAAATATTATTGTGATCGGTTCCTTTTCATACTGTCCCCTTTATTTATACTCATATTGGAATAATCTTCTAGTCTTGGAACTTCTGTAAAATTATGCAACACAGCCATCGCAGCTCAACTTTTACTAGACATGATTTCACAAGATATTGAATATCTGCTCGTCAAATTATGCACTGTAGTTAACAAGCAAGCAAGGTAATTTGATAAAATATCTACCGAAGTGCACACACTTATCATATTAAAAGTAAGAAGTTTCCAAATCTACAAAACATCTCGATTTCATCAACATGACCATAATAAGGTGCATGTTCTGGATTACGAGCACATATATATATATATATATATATATATAGAAAAGTCATTTGCTATAAGTTTGGCCGCTGCATTACTTTGTTTCAATGTTTTTTTATTTGATACCTACCATATGATAAATAACCTAAATTATATCACTGCTCTTCAACAAGCCATGATTTGTGGCAACCTTTGTTCTGAGCTAGCTGTGCATTTTTTTTCTCACTCAAGAAACAGCCCTCCCCTTAACGCATGCACGTCAAAGCACATATTCATATACACGACTTCAAGCAGTGCACCTGGCCACCACCATGTTTGTGCTCGTGCTGACAAGCACTTCCAAGGTCATATTCATGCGCATAAATCTTGGGTTTGTGTGCATGACTCACCAGTCAAGGTCTCTTTTTTAGGAGCCAATCTTATACACCTTTTCAGTATTCACGAATCCACAGCCCGTGGCTGTGTGCTTGTTTGTTGCTTTGAAACGCAAGCGACACACACGCCATAAGCCCGAACACACCAAATGGCACCGGTCTAAAGCCATTGACGGCTAGGCTGGTGGCAGCGATACCCCCGGCATGGCTGATCAAATGACATCACTGCATCCTATTTGACAACAACAAGCTTTACGGGAAAAACTTATTGCAGAAAACATGACATTACAGGTCCCACTGAAGGCTAGGTAAAAGTTAGGGGAGGGGCACGCTTTCTTACGTGCTCCCGAGCAAGTTTGATAAAAACGTGTAAAGCAAAATGATCTCATGCCACCCCCTTGAGCGGACTGACAGACGCGTACGCTCGTAAAATCATAATCGTGTTCGTAATTGTGCGGTGTCCTGCTGTCTAAAGTATTCCAAAAGAAGGTCGACCCATTCTTGGACTGCTCTCATCGTAAAATCACACCCACTAACTGCAACAAAGACGCTTAGAATGTCTGCCCATCGTTCAAGTGCTGCAAAGGGATTGCGGCCCATAATCTCCCAAAGCAGGCAAAGGTCTTCGGCCACCGTGAATCGCTTTCTCGAAGATGCCGGCATGGTTCCAAGCAAAAGCGCAGCCATCTTACTAAAGCGTGGCTTAGTGGCTCGATTTAGGATGCACAATACTGTTCTGTGCGTGCACTTTATAGCATGCAAAGTGGCAGTGTGCACTACCTTTACGAACATGTGTCCACGAAAACACCATCTATAAAGACTGTGCCGAGAGCAGAACATGCTATTTCAACCTGCTCACTCCGATAACTGCCGTATTTACTCGCACAATGAACGCACTCGCGTAATGAACGCACCCCCCAAGTCGGCTCTCAAAAGTTCGACTTTTTTTTCACTCGTGTAATAAACTCACCCCCAACTCGGACGAATTTGGTCACCAGAATGACTCCGCTCCTATACACTCTGTGTGCGGTGACCGGCGCGCCGCTGCGCAACCGTCGGAGAGGACAGGCCGCGAGAACCGAGCTGCCCGAGCAGAAGAAAACAGCGCCGCACCACCGCTTTCAGAGGCTGGCACCACTGCCGCCGCAACGCCCAAACTGCACCGCAAACACGCTGTTTATTGCGATTATGAATTGCTGCGTCGTCGGTTGTACTAATAGGTATACGTCGTGCCCCACGGGGACGACGTTTTACAGTTTTTCAACTCGTCCATGCTTCGTCGGGCAGCGGCAACAGTAGATCAGAGCCGTGCGGCGGAAGAAGTAAGTTCGGCTCCAGATCTTGTCTTCCAATGGATCGTAATGGCGAACGTATCTTGTCCGTCTCGCGTTGTGTTTAGGTTTTTCTTCTGCCACTAACGTTTGCATATTTCAGTGCCGACAGAACGGACTGGGAGCCGACCCGGCACTCACGGATATGCAGTGTTCATTTCGTCGGAGGTGCGTCCTCGAAGGATGTTTCGTCCCCGTCGTATGCGCCGACGATATTCCCCGAAGAGTACCACAAGCGTTCGGTGCTCTCTAAGGATAAATCCGGATGCTAGGAAAGGTGAGAGCGTTGTTAAATTGCCGTATTTGAACCTACTTGTTCTGGTCTGTCGGCTGCTTTTTATTAGCATCCTTACAGACGCGGCAATTTTGTTTTCTTTTCGACGGTGTCGGGGAAGCAGTTTTATGACGCTGATTTCTCGTAGGTCGCGGAAAGACAATGTCAAACGCAACTGCTGCACAGTTGGGTGGGAATGCGAGGACAATTGCAGTGTTTGCTCTATTTAGAAGCCAGGCGCTTATTTGTTGGTATGCAGCCTCACTGTGATTAATGAGAAAAGTGAAGGTGTGATTTCTTTTTCTTAGATACAAGAAATGGAGGACAGCTACTGCAGCTCTGCCCCAGACCTCAACGTCGCTGCCAGACTTGCTGCAAGCTGCGCCACCAACAGTGGTGACCGAGGCTCCTGTGGATCTGCCAGCATCTCCAGCATTCGTACCAGAGTTTGGAGAACCTGAAGTCACTGGACAACATAATGAAGCTCGTCATCAGGAAGGTGTGGAGGTAGGTTCTCCTCTGCTAACATGGGTGCCTTGGGTGTATTGTTTGGTATCCACCGAACCAGTGCGTCGCGCATCTTCTACACGATTCTATATGTGCTCTATGTTAGTACGCAGGGATGGATCCAATGGTTTTCTAGAGATGTTGTTCATGCATCAATGCCTGCATCGACCTGGTCGAAGTATCCTAATTGTAGGGTTATCGTCGACTGCAGTGAAGTCCGGATTGAGAAACCGAGCAAAGTCTCGGACAGAGTGAACCGCTGGAGTAATTACAAAAGTGACTTCACGCTGAAATTTCTTGTTGGCATCGCGCCATCTGGGTACATTACATTTATTTCAGATGTTTATGGCGGAAGGGCAAGTGACACTTACATCATAGCAAACTCTCGGTTGGTTAGCCTGCTAGAACCAGGTGATATGGTTATGACCGACAAAGGGTTTCCTCGCGTGAAGTGCGACTTGGAGAGTAAAGATGTGACTCTCGTTATGCCACCATTTGCAAGAGCTAATGAACAGTTCACGGAGGCAGAGATGAAGGAGACATACAAGGTTGCATCTCATCGAATTCATGTTGAGAGATGTATCCAGCGGATTAAGAGTTTCGCAATCTTGAGCCAGAGGTTGACGCCAAAACTCAAATACCACATAGACAAAATTTTACATGTATGTAGCATGCTCGCGAACCTGCAAGGTCCCGTCATTAAGACTCTGTGAGAGTTTGGAACAGAAATCTGTGCTTCCGATAAATTACACGGTGCGCAAAAAGACGAAGACCGACAAAAAGGAAGCAGACAGGATGAGAGGACGAAAATTAGCATTTGTCGTGTTTGTTCCTTTTTCATCAGTCTTTGTCACTTTGTGCATTCAGTCTTCGTCGTTTTGCACGCCATGTATTTTATCGTAAGCGTGAACCAACTTGCCCACGTTGCCACTATGATTCAGAAATAAATGGTCACACACGTTTTATTTGTGATATTTCGACTGGACATTTGCACTTCGTATTTCATACAGAGTAATTTTTCACATATCAGCACTACTCTAGCTGATTAGAGGCTTTGCTGCCTCAGAACAGCTGGAAAATAGTGCCTGAAAAAAAAAACCATTCCAGCTTTGGCACAACTTTCTGAAGAACGGCATGTCCTCCATTACTTTTACACACTCAGGCCCCTTGGGTGAGTAGACATAGAAGTCGCACACATTCGCACCAACAATATACATGCTGACTTGGACTTGTGTGTAGTACACATGGCTTTCTTGCAGCTTCAGCTTTTTCCGCTCGTATTGCAGGTAGTCAACGTTAATGTTCTCGTCAACTACAGGCTCGGTCTCGCACCTGGAAGGACACTTGATCTCTAGGAGGCGGATTTCCCCGTTCTCTTCCACCAGTCCGTCGGGGCTCCAACACATCCACAGGCTGTGGGACGCACACAACAAGTCCTACTTGTATCACCTTTTTGTTTTCCGAGGACTCGTATTCTTTCCTGGCTTCCGGTTCTTTCGCTACACCGTAAGAACATGAGGCACTCTTGAATGACCGTGGTGAGGCAAGGTCTTCGGCCAGGGTATCGAAGTCAGCTGTACGTATTTTTACTCTGTGAGCCTTGGATCTTGCAGAGATTCTTGCTGCCCTCAAACGGTGCCATTGTGGGCGTGCACTTTGAAGTATTGTCTCTCGTGAAATCTCTTTGCACTCATCCTCGCTGACCATGACAGCGAGATGAATGTCGTCACATAGCTCCTCACTCAAAATGTCATCTGCGCCAAATATTACCCGCGGTTGTCCGACACGAGGTAGAAGCTTGTTGAGACTTTTGAGGTTCTCCTTCACTTGCTCCTCTTGACGAAGCATAATGCCTAATGGGCAGTTGGAGTTTACAATGGACGCTGGCACCGGATGTCCCTGCAGCCTGCCATCCGGTAGCTTCGATGCAAACATTTCCGAGAATAGCACAACCTTGTTGTACATTCCAAGCTGCTTTGCCGATGGCCTCTTCCACACATTTGTTATGAACGTCTTTGTGGAAGTGTCCTCCCTGTTGACATATGCCACCACTGCTGTCGTGTGCTTGCACTGGCCGCATGTGCCACCTCTACAGGTGCAGTGCACCTCTGTTATCCTCCTGGTGTTGTCCAGCTGATGACAAAAAGAAAACGTGGATGTAAGACTCCTTAATGTCCAGTCAAGTTCATGCAACATTGTCATTATGAATATCATCAGCACTACACGTTCTCCTGTGTGCCTGGTCTTTTTCTCGCAACAAAAAGATCATGCTCAAAAATATACAACAGCAGGGCAGAAAGTGCAGGAATAATTTTTTGTTAGGTCGACCAAGGGTCGGAATGAAATGAGTGAGACAACCGTGCAGCAAATGCTGATACATTTATTCCGTTAATGTTTGCCTCCCTCGCGAAAATAGGAAGTGTGAGGAAACTGTCTTTGCAACTCTGATCGGACGTGCGGTCCGACTTTAGGCAGCAGTGAAATGATCCCACTTTAATAATAAAGGAGAGGTCACATTTCGCAGTGGGCTCGAGTCTAGCAATCGATCGGAGTTGCCGAGGCCCTACAGGTGCTGCAGAAGTTTTCTGATCAAATAGCAAGGGTCTTGTGGCTTTTGTGACCGTAGCACCCACTCACAAGATTTGTTTACCCACATCTCTCGGTGCTCGATACGATCGAGTCAGCTACAACAAGGAAGAGCTGGCGTGCACAGAAATTAGCGAAGAAACTAGAAGGCAGTTAAATGAAGGCAAGATAAACAAAGAAAGAGATTGTTACACACCGCAACAAATTGAAGCGAAACATCTCGCAAAAAAGACTCCGTGCGAATTGCCGTGACCCGAAAGGATAAACATCATTCCCAAGATTTCATTTAGGCAGTCGATAATCCCGAATAACTCTGAGATTCTGAAGGAGACAGTACTAGTAAATACGAATAAATAATTCTGCGAGCATGAAAGAACGGGCACTTACTTTGATTGTTATGGAGTAAGTTTCTTGAGAGACGCTCGCCTGTCGCACATACCTTGCCCTCAGGACCGACGCCGCCGCCGATAATCTCTCGTTAACGTCGAAGACGTGGCCACTCTCGTAGAGATCTTCACCCTTTTTCGTAGTGGCATCGCGAAACATGGAGCCTACTAAGACGTCTTTAAAACCGGCACGAAGTACCAAGCCTCCGACTGCAGACGCCTGTGCCGCCATAGCGTCCAGGTGCAAAGGGCGGCTGCAAGCTGCCGGACGAGTCTCGCGATGCAACACTAGCTCCGCCGCCAGTGGCGCTGCGTGCAGTCCACCGCGCCCCCTATAGTTCCCGCACGGAGTGCATAGAAGGGGTGATGACAACACATGTAAACTATTCTATATCGTCCCACATGGCAAAAGCAGTCTAGTTGTTTTAGATCGGCCTGCACACAATGCTAGGCCTGCATACAATCAATGATGAAGTTACTTGTCACCATGTAAGCTGAACCTCGGATCATTTTCTGATGAAGTCCGGATTGCGATTTGAGTTCCATCAACGCATCCTGAACGTGAAATGGTTGGGACAGCTTCAGCGAGGACATAAGGGTTTGACTTGTCAGTGCTAAAACACAGTTTTTAACAGTACAGCTGCCACCATGCTTTGCTAGGTGGAACAAGGAAAATGAACAGAGCATTCTAAAGCCAGTTGAACGACTGTCCGGGTTTGAGGTATAAGACCATTCTGTATGAACATAAACAGGCATCGCGTAGAAGGTTCTGCCATGCTGCAGCTTGTTTTCCTGAGTATACGGCCCGGCAGCATTCCGCATTAAGGTCGTAAGCTTGAAAGGGTCACCTGAGTCTTGAGCAAGCATGCTAACATGCAAACACTCTGATGTTGTACCAAATAATATAGTCATTGCAAATGTTTTGCTCTTTGATGAAAGCCTGAGACTGACGGAAACGACAGACGGCGACAAGGAAAGAGCAGGACAAGGTCTCGAAACGAGACATTCTTCTCTTTCCTTGTCGTCATTTGTCGTTACCTGTCTCTGGTTTTCTCTTAACTACCGTGCACTCTTACATTGTATCCCAAATGCACTATTGCGGCATACGCCAACTCGAACGGTATCGGCATGTTTTTTGTGGGCCTGGTGGAATATTTCAAGTTGAAAAGGGGACCAAAACTACATGGTAAGAAGAAGTGGTTACCGTCCCGTGACCGAAGCAGACGCCCGGAGGCGTAGAGAAGCAGTCCAGCCAAGTCGAGGGTCAGCGAGCATCTGTTCTTTTTCCACCTAGCCCTAGGCGCGTGCCGTTCGCTGGTATTTATTGCGTCATATGCTGTACCGGTCGGCGCGAGACCGGTAGTGCCATCTCTTTTAATTCAAAGAATACAACACCTGACTCAGTTGCAAAGGATCGCCTCATTGCTGTCTTTCTTTGCAGCTGCCTGATTTTTTTTGCGTTTTCTGCTACCTATGAGTGAAATTGATGCAAATACGTCTTCACTTAGTGTTGGCCATAGTGACATCAGGTATAGCATAGTATGAATGTTTTCCAGAAATCACCAGTTTGGGAGCTTTGCATAGTGAATGGAGCTGTCCAGTACACTGTATTCACCCGAGCATCACGGTCTTGGTGAGTAGGTCAATCTGTTTGGCGAAGACCTGCAGCACCAAAGTCGTATCTGGATGGCTCTGACTGTACCAGAGAATGGAGATGGTCAGATTCTTCTAGCAAAAGTCCGGAGGCAACTCGTTAATAGTTATTTGCACTGACCAAATTGAGAACTTAGATGAATTGAAGAGCAGATTACCGTCCAAGTTCACCGTCATTGTCACATCCATCTTCTCGACGTTTAGCTCCTCATTGTTTTCTGTACAAAGCTCCATCCGTAATGTCACCTATGGCAGCTGGGTCACAATGGTCTTCTGCAGGGAGGACTTCAGCGACCTGGCAACTTCTTCAGATGCAAGCACTGAAGTGAGCTGTTGCTCCAAGTGAAGGCTGACAAAAAAATGGCCTTCTCTTAAGAGCCCTTCTCCAGTGTACTTCTGGCCACACTGCACGCATGTCGCCTCAACTTGCTTCCTCTCCTTGAGGTCTCCTGCAGATTTCCCCAGAAGAAGCATGCAGCGTGGGCAATAAAAGGGGAAAGTTGAACACCCGAGTGAAATCTGCACGAATTTCTGAAACAAGAACTTTGTATCGGGAAGGTCATCCCTCTCCTGAATGAAGCCAACAAACTTCATCAGGTTCTCCACTAGCATGTATGACACTCCAGACGTGACGCCAAAGTCCATTACTAACGTGACTAGGTCATGCGCTGAAAATTCGTAGTTGGCAGGAGCTCCGTGGCTGCCAGCACCTTTGCAGTTTTCCTCATTTGTCACTTGTGTACCAGAGTCCTCGCATTCGTCTTCGTCCTCTAAATCACTGGTGCTCTGCAAAGAATTTCCGGGGGTGGACGGTTTATTGTCCGCAAGTATGGTGGACACACCAGTCGTCAGGTTTTGTTTGTGCATTGCATCTCTTGCGCAAGGTGACCGGTGCTCCGTTGAACTCGGTAGGCCGTCTTCGTCGAAGAACTGCTCCATGTAGAACTTGTGCCGATTTGGCGTCCCAGACATGTCGGCGATATAAGACATTGCCACATGTCACTTGGTAATTTTAAGTCAGCAGTTCTCAAAAGAAGCTCAAATAAACTATGTTATCTCAAAACCACTGCCAGATCTCAATAGGCCAG